AAACTATCCGAGTTTGCTACAAGTTCAAGTCTTGAAACGTGCTTTTACCTAGTCCGAGCGTAAGCACGTCTCCCTTGATGGGGATAATTTTCTTCAGACTCTCAGGGTGTATTTGCTTCAGTTTCTCGAACAGCTGAAACGTTAATTGCTTTAGAACTGTACAAGATGTATCAAAAAAGTTGGGCTTCCGGGTCTATTGCTTGAAGCTTGAGAATTTTTCGGGCTTTAAGGGCGTCGTAAAAAATAATTTCTTACTGATGACTTGCAAGCACATACATCTTTATAGGTGGTTTGCTCGGCGCAGCAACGGAAAATGTTCAGGATACTGTTTACTCAGGCTGATGCATTTTGCGCAGTGCTTTGTAACTTAGTTTCAAGTTGATTTGGAATTTATTTCAGCTTGGGGCAAGAGTTGCATTGTTTGCTACAGCTCTTTGATGCTAACTAAAAAGATCATGTTGGCTCAAATCCCGATTTCTACTTGGCTAACCAAAACTTCTTCCGCGGTCAATTATTTCATCTAAATAGTCCAGTACTGGTTGCTGGTTAAGAAAATGTTGCTAGAACTCATCAGCACTGTCTCATGGTTCAAAAAAATTATGTCTCAAGTAATTTGGCCAAACTTTTCGAAATTGTACGGTGACTTGCAATACTTGAAAGTTGGATCTTGGTTTTGTATATATATTTTTATGTGTCCAATGGGGCATTTTGAAAATGTTTCGCGCTTCAAATTTTGAACACCCATAAATTTTCAGGTGCCGTATGCTAGAAAACTGTTTGCCTTGACTGAGCTAATATTGAATCACTTTGTGTGTTCTACCTACCGGTGAGGATGTAATTTGCTCGAATCGCTCTTCTAGAGACTTTCCTTTTTTGGGCCGAAGCAGAATGTAAATCTTGCCCAAATCGGGACACGAGCGTAGAAATTTTTCTATGCAAGCTTTCCCAATAAATCCACTTCCTCCGGTCAGGAATAAGTTTTTACCTGCAAACCACTTGCATTCCATTATCTATGCGTACAAAAATTAAATGAAGCACCTCTAAAGCATTCTTGGATAGTTTGCGTGGAAACCATTCTGAAGTCAAATATTACCGCACTATATTAATAGACAGAGCCCATCTAATAAACGCTCCCAGTGAGTTTTAAAGG